TAGATTTTTTTTCTGTAAGATTTTCTTTTACTTGATCAACATATTTCCATATTGGAATAAGAATTGGTATTTTCTCTTTTCTTGAATAAATATGATCAAATAACATATTTTTCTCACGTAAACACTGCTTAGCCATATTGATAACCAACCATTTTGATGGTGTAGCTTTACCTGAACCAGGATGACCTAAGACTATGAAATGTTTAAACTCATTGTATGCTTGTTGAATTCGATATTGTCTTGCTTCTTTAACGTTATTTTGTTCCAAAATACTTTGTTTTAACCGATTCACTTTAGTTTTGATAGCAGCCACCTCATTATCAGTAAATATATTTTTGTTGCTTAACAAGACGTCTAGCCATTGATCAATCATGAAGTCTCTACAGTACTTTTCAGAGTTGAAGGCATTTTTTTCTAGGATAGCTCTGTTCAGTTGTTGTCTTTCATGTTCATTGAAAAAGCCAGGAGAGAAAAGTTTACGTTTAAACTCTTCAGTAATTTCCAACATTTTCATGGCTCTAATCGATGGATGTGTAGGATCGAATTTTAATTCTACATAGACACTTTCCAAAGGTAAACTCATGGTAGTATTAGAATATCCAAAAATTGATACATGTGCATATTCGTTGATAAGATAATTCAAATATTTTTTTTGCGAACAAATTCTTTTTTGTCGGCAAATGATAAATTTTCACGTATTAATGATGTAAATAATTGAAGACTTTTCAGAAATGGTATTAAATCTTCTGCATTATAACCATCTTGAACTTCCTTAATCATATCGAAAAATGAAATGTTTGACATTTGATGAAACATATTATTCTTATTAGATTTGACAAGTTTATACATGGCCGATGGTTTGTCATCTGTTACAAACAATATCCATTTTAATAAATTCGAAAGAGTTGGATCAGACATCTCGATATCATCTCCAATGAATAACAAAGTTTTTGTTTTCATAATATCTCTCAGCCTTGATTGCTTAGATTTATTTTCAAGAAGTCGATAATAATCATAGCTACTGAAAATGATACCATCTGTGTCTTCAAAATGTCCATATATATATGTAGAATATAATCTTTGAGATTCTCTAACAAATCATCAATACCATTCGTATAATATTCATTCCAAGTTAATGATTTTTTGTCAAGTACCTCTTCAAGTGATGAGTCATAGTTAGTTGTTAAAATTGGACACCCTAATCCTCCTTTGGCTTTAATAAGCTTCAGTCTTTTAGCTGATACATTTTTTACTGTTTCTCTTAACCATGTTTTGTAAAGATCATCGTTTGTCTCATCACTTCCCATCTGGAAATAAGCCTTTATTTGGTCGGCAGCAAGTAAATAATCATCAACTTCTGCTGTGTCACTGTTAAACTTGATATTGAAGTCCTC